AAACAAAAAAAGCTCCCCAAAAAATCTGGAAAAAAATATATGTTGTGTAAAATAATACTACAAACAACTTTTGCCTTGAGGTATGCTCAAATTCGTAACCAAAAGAACAAGAACAAACGTAAAACAATGAGGAGAGGAAAAATAAAAGAGGAGGGCAGGGATTCTCATGGACATCACACGAACACCAGATCTCATTACCAGAAAGGAGCATCAGCTCTGAATGCGAATCAGTACAAACCTCAGAACCCAGGAAAAGGAGGGTGGAGAAGAGGAAGTCTGGGCCAAAAATAGTGCACTCAGTTTGGCACAGTGTAATAGCAGTTCTGCACCCATAACCTTTTATAAGCACTACAGAACCAAAGGCGTATGTCATCCACCTGCTTGGTACAGGTCAGGCACATTCTTAACCCTATGTCTGTGTCTCAAACCAAAAGCAAGTTATATCTCCAAAGATTTCCAAAAGAAATATCATACAAGAATAAGTCTGAATAAAGATGACAGGCAAGGGATTCTTCTGGGCAAGAACCTGCCTGCTTGTCAGAAATGAGCACTCGACCAGCAGTACTTCTGCGGCTCTTTTCTCCAACCCTTGAGCCACCCTGCACGCCACACAGCCTCCTTTTGCCTAGTGCTGGTTTTGCTTCGGAGGCCCGAGCCCCAAAAGTTGCAGCGCGTATACGCCAAAGGGCACACCGCAAATGTATGGGCCAAGTGCTGGTGACTTAAAACACCAGCCCCCCCCGCCGGCTGAAAATGAGCATTCCGGTGAGTTAGGGCCGCATTTGGCAGGGGGCGCCGACCGACAGGCAACCAACGGGTCCAGTCACCCATTTTCCAAGCACCGACTTTGGCAGCTTTTTGTGAGTTGAATAATCCACAAAAAAAATCCGAAATTTTGGGATCCGACAGATTAGGTCGTGATCTTTCCAAGAAACATATAAAATAAAAATAAAAAAATTGTTTAGATCGTGAAATTATTGCCGTGCCAAATTGGTGCATTTTCCGTTTTTGCCATTCCGCCATCTTTCGGCCAACGGAAAAGTACACCTTTGATGATTTTTCACGCGCTCAGACGAATTCAAAAAAAAAACTAAAAATTGGTGTCCCAGTAGATTACTTCGTGATCTTTTCAAGAAAAATATATTAAAAATTTTAAAAAAGTTTTAGGTAGTGAAATGACTGTCGCGCCGATTCAGCGCATTTTTCATTTTTGTCACTGAGCTGGACCTCCAGGCAGTCCTACCGGTAGCCCTCGTTAGTGTGTGCTCCCGGTCCGCCCGACTTTTCAACGTCGGGAGGACTGGTGGTTTAAAAGCACTACCAACATGTCGAAGGGCAACCCTACTTAACCATCTCATATTATCTATTAATCCCACAGCCTTCTTTTACCCCTGAAAGCTGCCACGCATATATGACAAGGGCCCACGGCCAATGTACGGGCAAAGTACCGGTGGTTTAAAAGCACCCCCAACATGTCGAAGTGTGAACACTACTTTACCATCTCATAGTATCTATATTTATCCCACATCCTTCTCTTACCCCTGACAGTTGCGGTGAATCTATGAACCTTGGCACAACACCGAAAGAAACTTTACAGATGGCGCCACGAGCCAGAGAGGTCTACACGCACAGCCCTTCGATGCACATGCACAGCCTCATTGGAAACTTTTGCCTGTGACACATACTTGTGGTTTTAGGATAGTCACCAACTGCCCTTCGATGTACAGGCGTACACTTGCAAGCGCTCACACCAAGTCGATGGACATGTGGGCACTCCCAGCTCGACCACACACACATGGGAATCAGCCTCGCTGCTAATTACTCCCATTGTGTGGGACACAACGTTTGGTAACCATTCACAACTACGAATCTGGCATTACGACCAACGGACCTAGCTCAGTGGGTACACACCCATGGACTGTTGAAATACATACCCAAGTTCGAATCCAGCTGCAACAAGAGGAACAGAAAAACGTAATTCTCAATTACCTGGCTCTAGTCAGTTCAATGATAATATCTCAAGTGTGTCACCCTTTCGGTGACCCTTTCAGGAAGGGAAAAAAAAAAGGTGCCGGGCATTACTGGCCCTTTGGTCTGACTGATTGGGGGGGCTAGGTCCAGGGTTGTCTTACCGAGTCTGCATCACCTTACAGCTGGTGCTTGGGGGGATTCCTTTTTTTTTCTTTGGCCAATTTCTCAATTTATGCGTGTCATCCTTGCGCAGGATTATTTGCTAAGTTAACCTTCTCTGTTTTGTTCCAATTTTGACGGATGTCCCGAGGGACGCTTTGGAGGGTTTTCCTTGCCTCTGGATATTCAATGTTTTCCTCAGCTTCAGGTGGTGTTCCTCTGCGTGGTTAAGAAAGAGAGCAGTCTCGGGCCCTCGGACCTCTGTGAATGGACCCAGGGGTTTGGAGCTCACGGAGTTCCCAGGGAGTTATGGTAGGGGCACAGGGTACCTTAGGCGAAGTAAAACACCGGTGGTGCATGAAGGTTCTGAGACCCCAACCTATGCGACAGACCCATGTTGCTCTCCATTATCTGCCCGCTTCAATCTCCGTTATCTGCCCGGTAGCAAATGTCTTCGACATGCCAAAAATTTCCACTGGGGTTCATATTTCTGAGCACAGGGTATACGGCGAGGAGGCTACACTAATTCACACAGCAGTGCCCCTCGTCATATACGGCTGCTAGAGATGCGCATGGCAGGGTTGCAGGCCTATGTTCTACTCGCCTTTGGTGGAGGGGTGAAACGAGAGGGGTATCAGTTGTTCCTCCTACAGGGGGCCGGACTGCGAGATCAGATGGCAGTTGTCAGGCCATCGCATTCGCTGAGGTGATGATAATAATACTATTCTCATGGGCTTCTAGGATTATTCACAGACAGCCCTTCGCCGTTCGTGGCCAGGGGATCTGTTAATTCGCATTCGCAACGAAACCCCACATGCCAAGCAGATAGATGTGTGGCCACTCCCTACTTGACCATACAACCTTGCACTTTGTACTGCTTGGCATTGTTATCTTTGCTCGGGACGGGAAGGGGTCCCTGACAGCCGTCGCTCACAGCCGTTGACCATGCATATCACACTCTGCCTAAGACAAGGAAAGCATTGACTGACATGATCAGTCCTCGAGGGAAGCACCCATAGAAGTAAAGATCCCGAAACTGCTCATTGGAAAGAACATCCATATGTATGAAGCAGAATCCATCACCTAACAAACAAATGGCAGTCCCACGGTGCCATATGGCATAGTGCATCTATCAATTATCTACCAGTGTGTGTGTGTGTGTGTGTGTTGTCATATTCGCTATACACTCAAAAAAAGCACGACTGTATCAGACTCTTTCGTCGGTGTGTGTGTTATAGAGCGCTCGGGGTATTGCCAGTTTCTCTGCTGTTGTGTGTTCAGCTGTGTTGTCATGTTCGCTGCTACACAATCCTTCTCTTCCATGGTGATTCAGGTCTGCGGTATCGTCTCAAAGAGGACGGTTTCCGCTTCTGCGGTGTCGTCTCAAAGAGGATGATTTTCCCTTTTGTATTGGTCTCGGGCTATGTGCTTATGCCGCCGAGGCCGGACTGCTTATGCCTCGTCTCTGGTCGTTAGGTCTGTCCACGCAGCCCAAATGCCCGTGATGTCCCGTCCTGAAAGGGTGCAAGTGCATGTTCATGGACATATAAGGTCATCGTCTCGGCACAATGATTAGCTGAGAACATGACCACACCCGCCTGCCACAGCCCAGCGATGCAGACAATGTATGTGGACCCAAAATTGTGATTACAACTTCACTCATCGCCACAGTCCCTTCCAAATTCAATTTACATTCCGACTCAGATGCAACTTGCACATTCACAACCACCTCGAATGTTTCCCTCGTTGTCATCTATACTACGAGGATTTCAGACAACATCATTGATTCCCTTGTTTTCTAATCTCCTCTTCCAATTCCAGGCTCGGCAAAATTGAAAATTCAGGCTTGTACAGATAGCCTCGGGTGTACTGGTGGTTTAACGGCCAAAGTTCAGTTCCACAATATTTTTTCCTTCTCTTCACTTATAGACCTGACAGCCCTGCCGTAACGTCCGCATTGAGGGCATACTCACACTACTACTTTGGCGCAGGTATCCACCTGGTATCACGTCCAAAGGGGTGTTGAGTTTTCATTTTTTGTTCCATGTGGATGTGAGCACGTTGCTGCAACTCCGTGCTTGTTCTTTTTTCTTTTTTTGGGGGGGAGCTTGTTCTTTTTTCTGAAAGTCTAGCTGTGTTTGTTTTTTTCATTTTTTGGACGAGTACCACAAGAAAAGCACAAAGGAACCCAGGCTCGGCAAAACTCAGCATGCAGTGAAAATCAGGGCGGCAAAAACAGGCCCGGAGGTAGTGATTTAAACCACAAGTACTCGGCCTCAGCCTTGCAGTCCAAAGCTTGTCGCCACAAGAGAAAGATGCCGAAACGTCAAAAACTGGGGCCGCCATTGATGAATTCAATCGCCCGTGGCGTTTGCGTTTCGCGCCTCCACAATTTGAGGTGTCAGGCCCTCGGCCCTCGGTCCAGGTGCCCGTGTACTGGTGCTTTAAGGCTCCCAGTTACATCAAGCGGACAGCGGGACTTGAAACGTAGGTAGGAAGAACAAAGCAGGAAAGCACGTTCCCTCATGGAATAAAAGCTGGACTGTGGCAACCATAATCATGTAAATGCATCAACGCCGAGGTTTTCAGAAACAGCACAGCAGTCCAGGGTACAGCATCATACATTGCAAATTTGCAATACTTCTTCACTCTTTTTTCCTTCACAGGCCCACAGCAAAGCATCCTTTCCACACTAAACATGCCAGGTTCCTTGATTGCACATATATGTCATGAAAACATGTGAGCAGACTATAGACCAATTCGAGGGCAAGCCGGGTGCAGCACAGCAGTCCAGGGTACAGCATACATGCAACACTTCTTCACTCCTTTTTCCTTCATAGGCCCACAGCGAAGCATCCTTTCCACACTAAACATGCCAGGTTCCTTGATTGCACATATATCTCATGAAAACATGTGAACAGAATATTGATCAATCGAGGGCGAGCCGCAGGGAAGGGGGCGCAGAAGGGGGGGGGGGGGGGGGGGGGGAAGGGACACTGATTACCACGTCAGATAGGGTCTTAAACAGGAAGTTCTTTCCATCATGGCATAGAAGCAGGAAAAAGGGATGACGTCCCATCCAAAGCACCCCTCTCTCATCCCCGAGCTTGACCAAAAAGGAGCTGAACTAACTGATTGGCTAGCAAACGCACGGATATAGAAATACCAAACCACACCTCCGGAAGTTCAGATACCAGAAGCAACTTGTGGTACGTACATACATGCAAAGAAGGGAACAACGGTCAGTTAATGGCCCCCGTAACAGTTGCCCGGTTGAGTAAAGATACAAATGGTGATAGGTGCTACATACATGCAAAGAAATAAGAATGTCAGCATCTTGCACGTTCCGTGGCAGTACAGACGTTCGTACGGACAAATTACGAGAACGAGGAGTGCATCAGGTGGGGCCTGTTTGCACCACGAAGGCACACTAAGCATGAAATGAAGGGAGGTTTCTAACATGCAACAGCACCGGCAGAGAAGCAAGTGAGATACAGGGAAGCCCCACGGCGGCCGAGAATGGGTGACACTCAGCACCATCACACGAAGCAGCTTTTCACTGTTCCATCTCCCCTTCCGAAAACGAGCCAACATAGACAACAACACTGCATGGACAAATGTCACACCACAACAAAACTCCGTGTTCGCTGTGCGGAAAAGGAAGGTGCTGACCATGAAAGTCATCAGGATCATTCACTGAAAACGATAATGGAATCAGAGAAAGATGTGAACGCTGTTCACAGCCAGAGCATCCGAGAAGGACAGATACTGCTGATCCCCTTGCCACACAAACCATCCAACTTCTCCACCTCTATCCCATAGTCCAAACCGCTCCAGCAATCCACCAGAAACATACTGCTGCACTCTTTGCCCTGCAACCATACGATTCATCCCCCTCTGCCCCGTAGTCCATACCGGTGCAACAATCCACAGTGTTTCCCATGGGGCTGACCCTTTCTTCATCTTCCACGTCATGCAGAAGCCCCCAGAAGACCACCATCATCTTCCCACGACACCTAGTGGCTGTCATTGGACGAAACTATAAAAGATCATTTCCCTGTTGCTCGTCATCATCACAGAAGAGACCCCATCTTTCGAAGTGAAGGGCAATAACTCATCTCCCCCCCTGGCAAAACTGCCTCCATCACCACCATCACAAACTCATTTCCCGAGTCCCCTCTGCCTCTGCCACAAAGCCATAGGAGCAAAAAACTGGATCTCCCACAAGCATTGCTTCCTTCCTCCACCTTCCCCCCCC